CTTGGCTGACAGGCAGACGGGCGGAGGCGGGCAGGAAATTGGACGAGGAGGTACCAGGCGAGGGGTTTGGAGGGAAGGAGGAAAAGCGGAGAGAGGTTGGGAGCGTTGACGGCGCAGGAGGGCGGAGGCGAGGGGAGGCAAGAGCAGAGTCGGTGTGTGGTGGAGCGAGATGGTCGACCAGCCATGGAGGTGGCCAATGCGGGTGACAAGAGGAGCGGCAATGGGGGCGGCAATGGGGTGGATGCAAGGGGCAAGGGAAGGAAGAGGGTTGGTGATGACGGTGGTGTGGAGAGCGGTGGGAAGAGGCAGAGAGGGGTTGGGGACGAGGGGAAACGAGGTGCACCATCCAACCATGCGCATGGCCAAGCATTTGACCACAGGCATTTCCCACGCCAACACCCGTGCCCACACCCATGCCCACGCTTCCTCCTCGCCATGCCCCGGTGTGCGCCTCTCCTTCCCCTTACCCTCCTCTGTGCCAACCCCCCATAGGCACTTTCGCCCTGCCATGCGCGCTCAGTGCCACGTCAGCAGCATCTGACGTGGACCCATCCATGATCTCGAGCCCCCGAGTCCTTCTGGGCGTGCCTGTGCTGCTGCGCCGTCACCCGCCAGCACCACGCCCACCGACCCCGCCCCCCAAGGTGTGCTAGGTGTCAGTACAAGCTCTTATTAAGTCGCATGAAGGAATGTAGAGTGCTACATTATCCTCTGTATCACAGGGCGTTACGTGTGGTGGCTTGCATTTCCAGGATGAACTGAAGACAGCCGCGTGGAGCCAAGCAAAGCAAAGCGGCGTGGTGCGCTCCACTCCACTTCCGTGATGTCAACCAGGAGATGTGACCACCCCTCCCCAACCCAACACTGTGCTTGTTGATCGTTAAAGAAAAAAAAGGCAAGATGCGATTGATGGCATGCAGCAAAGTCGTGCTGCATGGTCGGAATGCCCTTGTGCTGCCCCACAGAAGGACATCAAATGAACCCACCCTCCCTCTGCCTGTCGTGCCTGCCCACCTCCCACCGCCTAACTCTCTTGCCGTTTTGAGGCAAGCAGCCCACGTGTGCTTGGCTTGGCTGTGTGGACGGTGCTCCTCAAACCTCCTCCTCACCCCTCTCACCCCCCTCACTCCCTCGCCGATCGGGCCGCTGGCCCTGTGTGCCTGCAGTGGTGTGCACGGAGGCTGCTCTGCGTATCGCCAGGCTGGGCGCAAAAGAGAGGGGCGGCACTGGCGCGTGGAGGGGCGTGCTGGCGGACGGTGAAAAACGAGGCCCATTCATCCCTGAGGTGCGCCTGCTGTCCCAGTGCAGCTGCTGTCATGCCCGTGCCTCATGCCGGTGCCCCTGTGCTCGCCCCACCTGCCATGCTCGCCCACCTGCCATGCTCGCCCCACCTGCCATGCTCGCCTCACCTGCCATGCTCGCCCCACCTGCCATGCTCGCCCCTCTCCAAGGGCTCGCTAGTAACCCCCGCCTCCCTGCCTCTGTTTCACCTCATTATGCACTCTCACGCTGGCCCATCTCTCTGCCTTCTCATCCGCCCTCCCGTGCGTCGCTACAAGCCACATCATCATTCAATGCACACGCACTTCCCACCTCACCCAACTTGCACGTGTGTCCTCTCACTCAAGTGCACCTTTGCCTTCCCCTGCCACTGAGCCACATGCCTGACAGAAGGTCTTGTGCTTCGCTCGCCTCGCAAGCCATCATCATCCAGTTGCTTTCACTACAAAAGCTCACCCTGAAACCCCTTGCTCTTCTCGCCACCTCTCTCCTCTCCCACCCATCGCCCATCTCCTTCTCTCCCTCCTCTTTCTACCTCCTCTCCCCCCCTTCCCCCCATTCTCACCCTCTGCCGTCCTCATCCATGCGAGCAGTGAGAGTGAGGAGCTGGCATCTTTAACGTGTGTGAGGGGAGTGAGGTGGGGGGAGAGGGTGGGTGTGGGTCCGGGCGTCACTGCCACTGCAGCTGCCTCGGGAGGTCCTCTTGGCTCTGCCTCCTGGTCGCTCCTTCACTGCCCCCACTCGCCCTCCCACACCACCCATGCCTCCCAACCCCACACCTCCCACCCACACACCTCTTTCCCCGCCGCACATCTCTTCTCTCAACAACCGCTCTCATCCATCTCGCAATCCCTCCAACCGACCCTTCCGCCGCTCCCTTCGCCTCCCACTCCACCGCTTCAACCGCTCCCTCCTCCAAGTGCTCTCACCTCGCCCTCCTCTTCCCATCGCTGCCCTACACTACTCTCGCTGCTCCACCACAGCTGGAGCCAGTAAGATCTTGCCACGTGGCAGCTCTATGTGAGCCCACGTCAGCCAGCTCTGCTGACAGTCACGCATGGACAGAAGACGCCAAGGAGGGGAGGAAGGCAAGGGTGGGGGATGAGGAGCATGGGAAGGGGCATGATGGCAGGCCGTGGGGTGGGGGAGGGAGGGGCAGCGAGGTGGGAGTGCAGGGCGGATGGAAGGGCAGAGGTGGCGGGATGGAGGAGTGAGGCGCTGTGTGAGTCATGTGGGCATGTGAGTGTGACGGCCGGGAGGGAAGGGACGGGAGGAGCTGAAGTGGCATGCAGCGATAGAGGGGGCAGTGCGAGTGAGGGGAGAGGAGGGGCGAGTGCGGGGAATGGGGTGGATGGGGTGGATGGTGCGGGGTGGCAGTGCGGTGTCTGACAGCATTGAAGGCGTTGTGAATGTGATTGCAGGGCGGGTGGCACAGGGAGGGCGAGTGGTGGTGCCGTGCTCCCCGCTGGGCCCCTCCTTGGACGTGCTACTCGCCCTGCTCTCACCCTCCCACTCACCACCAGGCCACCAGCACAATCAGCAGCAGCAGCAGCAGCAGCAGCAGCAGCAGCAGCGCCATCACCCCATGTGGGAGTGGGAGTGCCGGTGGTGTACCTGTCGCCAGTGGCCAAGCAGACGCTCTCCCTCGCCTGCATCCTGCCTGAGTGGATGCACCCCCGCGTGCATGATAGAGTGGGTGTGTTTGTGTGTGTGAGGATGGGTCTGGAGTTGGTGTGTGTGTGAGGGTGTGTGTTGATGCATGTCTGTGTGTTGGTGTGTGTGGTATGTGTGTTGGTAGTATGTGTGTGGGTATGTGTGTGGGTATGTGTGTGGTATGTGTGCTGGTAGTATGTGTGTGGGTATGTGTGTGGGTATGTGTGTGGTATGTGTGTTGGTAGTATGTGTGTGCACAAATATATGTCCTCATGTGTGGGAGTGCTTGTGCATGGGAGCTCGCTGTATTCTGCCATACGTCCTTCTGCCATACGTCCTTCTGCCATACGTCCTTCTGCCATACGTCCTTCTGCCATACGTCCTTCTGCCACACGTCCCTCTGAAACAGAGCACGTGTCCTCTTTTAGGCAGACACCTGACAGGTGTCTTTTTCTCTCTCCCCTCTCTTCCTTCCCCGCTCCCTCTCTCCTCCCACCCACAGCTCTTCTCAGGTCAGCCTATCCACGCCATCAGCAGCGCCCTCCTCTCCCACCCCTCCACCAACCACAACACCAAACCAGCTTCCTCCCTTGCTGACGCACATGGTGACCCAGCATGGGTGTGCGCATGGTGGAGCTGCCAGGAGCCGTGGTGTTCCTGCCGCATGCCCTGCGCGCCCACCATGCTGCACAGCGAGGAGCGGCTCGGCGAGGCAGGCAGCACCGAGGAGCGGTGGGACAAGGGCGGCCGTGGGAGGCCGAAAGCACGGAGGAGGCCGCAGGGCTGTCCGTGAGCCACGACTTGTGGTGACCGCCCTCTCCTCCCCCTCTGCCCTCTCCTCCCCCTCTGCCCTCATTCTCCCCCTCTGCCCTCTCCTCCCTCTCCTCCCCCTCTGCCCTCTCCTCCCACTCTGCCCTCTCCTCCCCTCTGCCCTCGTCCTCCCCCTCTGCCCTCTCCTCCCCCTCTGCCCTCTCCTCCCCTCTGCCCTCTCCTCCCCCTCTGCCCTCTCCTCCCCCTCTGCCCTCTCCTCCCCCTCTGCCCTCTCCTCCCCCTCTGCCCTCATCCCCCTCTGCCCTCTCCTCCCCCTCTGCCCTCTCCTCCCCCTCTGCCCTCTCCTCCCCCTCCGCCCTCTCCTCCCCCTCCGCCCTCTCCTCCCCCCTCCTCCCTCTCCTCCCCCTCCTCCCTCTCCTCCCCCTCCTCCCCCTCCTCCCCCTCCTCCCCCTCCTCCCCCTCCTCCCCCTGATCCCCCTCCTCCCACTGCTCCCCCTCCTCCCTCTGCTCCCCCTCCTCCCTCTGCTCCCCCTCCTCCCACTGCTCCCCCTCCTCCCTCTGCTCCCCCTCCTCCCTCTGCTCCCCCTCCTCCCTCTGCTCCCCCTCCTCCCTCTGCTCCCCCTCCTCCCTCTGCTCCCCCTCCTCCCTCTCCTCCCTCTCCTCCTTCTCTTCCGACTCCCACCAACGAGCTCTCCTCACCACCCACCTCACCAACCCTCTTTCTTCCCCTTCATTTTTTTTCACCTGGCGACCATTCCAACCTTCCAGGAACCTTCTCCACGGCCCGTGCGTTGTGTTTGCCGCCCACTCCACACTGCGTGTGGGCCCGGCAGTGGATCTGATTCACCTGTGGGGCGGCGACAGCCGTGCTCTTCTGCTGTTGCTCGAGGTACACTCCTGTTGTGGAGTATCGCTGGGGCTGGATTTGTGTCATTGGGTGTTGAATGCATCTGACTCTCATCACCATAGCCTGCTGTCAGTCACTCATTCGCAACACTTTCCTTGCACACCTTGCTTCCTCGTCTTGCACTTGCCTTCCATGCCTCTTCGTCCTTCATATGCTTCCTCCTTCTACTTTACCTGCCCAACCCTCTCTCTCCGTGGACCTTCCCCCCCGCAGACTCATCCTGAGGATGTGCCAATCACCATCTCGCCATTTCAGCCGCTTGCCATGCACGTCGCCACGTGCTGCCTGCTACCCTCTCACAGGTCTTGCTCACTTGCTATGCTTGTGCCATTTGATCAATGTGATTAGAGTTGTTTTTTTAGTAGCCACGTGATAAGAGCGAGTTTTTGAGACGACTTCAAAAATCACGTAATGAGAGTGGATTTTTCAGACGTCTAAAAAATCCACTCTTTTGCCATTTGATCAACGTGATGCCACCTCCGTGAAGCCACTACCCTCATGCCCCCCCTTTTTTCCTCATCCCCCTGCCCTGTCCCCAGGCGGTCAAGCACACTGCTGCCACGGGCTCCTGGTGTAGCTGTTACGGCCCACATGCCACGGGGTACTACTGCGGCAGGAGGCACGCCCATTGCAACGACTGGGGCACTCAAGGCTGTGCCTGCGGGGCATGGTTGGCACGTGGAGGATGGGGAGGGAGCAGGTGGGGATGGCAGAAGAGGCGTGGCGGTGGGCGGGTCAGGCAGTGCGAGGGAGCTCATCAACAGCATGCCACGGCTGCAGCATCTCATAGTGAGCCCTGCAGCATCTCATAGTGAGCCCGGTAGCGTTCATCAATCAAGGGCCTGTGCTGTGCGTTTGGAGCTCCCTCTCAACAGCTCATATAATTCCCTTCCACTTCCTCTCCCTCTGCCCCTCTCCTTTCTTTCCGCCGCACTCCTTTCTCTGTGCCGATCTCCCTCCTTCCTCACCGCCCCTCTCCTTACTCACCGCCCCTCTCCTGTCTCTTCCTCCCTCTCCTCTCTCTCCCCCCCCTCTCCTCTCTCTCCCCCCCCTCTCCTCTGTCTCCCCCCCTCTCCTCTCTCTCCCCCCTCTCCTCGCTCTCCCCCCCCTTTCCTCTCTCTCCCCTCTCTCCTCGCTCTCCCCCCTTTCCTCTCTCTCCCCCCCTCGTATTTCTCTCCCCCTTCTCCTTCCCCACCGCCCCTCGCCACAGGTCCCAGAGGCCCTCCACGCCCACCTCGCAGCAGGCCTCCCTGCATCCATCGCTGTGCACCTTCTCAGCACCACCAGCTGCCACCATCGCCATTGACCACCATGCGCTCATCACGCTCACTGCCATCCGTCTTGGAACCCACTGGGGCGATCCCTGGCACATCTGCACTGCTGTCTCCATCGGCCAGGGTCGGTCAAGTGGCGTCCCACACGGCGGATGAAGTTACGGTATGCATCACGTCTTCATTTGTAGCATGCAAGTGTTCTGAGCGGGGGGGCGTTTCTTATGTGGTGTTATCCAGTCCTTTGCTTTGCATCACACTGCCCTGCTCACCACAAAGTGCCTTCAATGTTTTTGGCAAGCTTCTCTCTGAAATTGTTTACTAGGAAATCAGATGGGTAACTCACAAATACAACAGAGCCATCTAAGAAGATCACAACAACTGATCCACCCTGACAATTTATTGCCATCCTAAGGGCATGCACCAATAACAAGCCATGGGCCAGGTGATCAAAGGTTAGCAACAGAGGCGGTGATACTGCCGCGCAGCCTGATGCCATTCACTTTGATGGTGGAGTAGAAGGCGGTGGGATTCGAGAAGAATCCCGCATCCACCAGCGCCTTGGGCCTGTTCACCGGCCTGAACGGCACGGTGATGTTGGCCAGAGAACTGGTGGTGCAACGGTAGGTGCCAAGTGTGGTGGTGGGCTTGGGCACGCATGCAAACGTTGCCACGAGCTGACCCGTGTTGGTGTGGTAGGAGGAGTTGGAGAAGACTGGCGCTCGGGTCTTTGACACAGCCTTCACGGTGAAGGTGAAGAGCGCCCTTTGCTGTGTTGATGTGCTGTGAATGGGTGGAGTGAGTTGCAGGGGTGAGACCGGGGGGGGGGGGGGGTGGGGTGGGGGGAGGAGGGTGATATGGAGGGGTGAGACGGAGCAGTGTGATGCAGAAGTGAGACAAAGCAAAGGAACGGATTTGCATCCACATGTTGGTATGGGAGGCACAATGGAGACTTGGGTTCAAGCGAGGTGAGCATGTTCTGTGCTAAGGTTATGACGAGCATCTGATTAGAAGGGGAACGTTGACGTGCACTCACATGTTAACATCCACGTTGAACTTGGCTCTCGTGTTGGTTTGTGAGCTGAGCACCGAGGAAGCTCGGTCTTCATCGGGCAGACGAGGACACATGCACAGGGCAGAAGAGGACACAGTTGAGCGACTTTTTGAAAGCAGAGGGAACATTGAAAGCAGACAGCAAATGGTCTGCAGTGGGAACATTCCGAGGTGGTTGGGATTGATGCATGTGCATACGCATATGCGTGTGCGTCAGCATGTGTATTTGCATGGGCATGTGCATGTGGATGTGCATGTGGACCTGCATGGCATGTGCATGGGCATGTGCATGTGCATGTCTCACATCTGATGGGAGCATTAAAGTCTACAGTGACGATCTTTTCGCCCCCGCTGTTTGACTCTCCGGTACTCCCAGTGCCGCTCTCAGTGGTGCCGCTCTCAGTGGTGCCGCTCTCAGTGGTGCCGCTCCCAGTGCTGCTGATCCCAGTGGTGCCGCTCCCAGTGCTGCTGCTCGCAGTGCTACCGCCGCTTATGCTAGATCCGCCGCCCGACACAATGATGGAGCCTCCAGTGCCGCCAGCGTTCCCGGTGCTGCCCATGCTGACGGAGCCGGAGCTGCTGCCAGTACTGCTGTTGCGGCTGTCGGGGACGGTGCTTACATCTCCGATAACGAGAGCTTCGTCAGGACTGACCGTGCTGCCGCCGCCGCTGCTGCCCGTGGTGCTGCCCCTGGTGGTGACCGTTTGGGACAGGAGGCCGTCGCTCGCATCCAGGAGCTCTCGCCGCACGGCGCCGCCCGCTGCGCAGCAGAGGGAGAACGAGAGCACTGCTGCCAAGGGGAGGGGTTTGCAGGAGTCAGTGTAGCGAAGCATGGGGGAGTCAGTGTAGCGAAGCATGGGGGAGTCAGTGTAGCGAAGCATGGGGGAGTCAGTGTAGCGAAGGGGGAAACAGGGAAGTGCGGAGGAGATTTGGGCAGGCCCACGTGTGGGGTTATCGATGATGCACTCCCGCCCGCGCGCGATACCTCGTCCGCGGAAGACTCATCATGAGCGACATGACAGGGCGACGGAGCGACACGACAGGGCGACGGAGCGACAAGGAAAGGGCGACGACACGACAGGTCGTCGGACGAGGCGACACGACAGGGCGACGAGCGACACGACCGGTCGACGAGGCGACATATGGCAGGGCGTCATGTGACTTGCCAGGGCGATACGAGGCGACGCGGTGGGCTCACCAGCGATGACGACGGCGAGTCGCTTAACGTCGAGCGACGGCGAGCGAGAGAGTGACGTCATCCGAGCCATGGTTGGATGGAGCCGCATGATAATACGGGGTTGCTAGTCAAGTTTGAGGCGAACCCAGGAGATGTCAAATCGAGTGATGATAGATGACTCGTGTGGCTGTGAATAGAATGAAGACAGCAGACGTTTGATGCTCTTTAGGGAATGGAGGGCGCAGGTGGGTCGTGATGCGCTATGCGAGTTCCTCCCCTCGCTTTCGCTGCGGCATTCGCGATTTCAGGAGCTCCTAGCAGTTGGTACTGTACAACTTCTTCATCCAGCGCAGCCAGTTTGCTGGGCACTGTGTGGAAGGCACACGATTCAACAGATTCAGCTGCGCCCAACCCGTGAGCTCCGTTGGCGACGGCGAAATGTTTGGCTGTGCCTGCCTGCGAGCCGCATCTGAAACCTGCTAGCACCTGGCGCCTTGATGCAGGTGCCCGTGCGTCGCGCCGTGATTGTGCGAAGTCCTGTCGGCTGGTGACATGGTGGTAACCAGGGCAGCGGAAAACCCAGAGGGTGCTGAAAGTGTAGCATCTTCCCATTAGCATCATTTCATCAGAAGCCAATTTTGGCCCATAAAGCCCGAAGTCTACTGTGCCCTATGTTACCGGGCGATGTGTGAGACAGTCGCCGGGTTGAATTCTGCGAGGCCGACCTCGGGGGTGGTATTCCGAGGTCGACATGGCTGGTGGGCGCAGTCACTGGCATGGAGTCTGCCAGGCGTCTGTGCTGTGCTAGTGACAAGGAGTGGTGCACCAACCAGCTGCGCGCACCTGTGAAGCAGGTGCACTGTTGTCATGCGGGTGCAATGCTGTGCAGCCAACTTGTTGCAGCGTCGGCACACCACGGACCCGCAACGTTGGCAAGCCGCGACTTTGCCTTGCTGGAGCATGGTCGACGAACTCGTGGTGGCACGCGGCGCGGTCGACCGTGCTGCGCTGGCAGTCAACCGACTAGCATGCTCATTCTGATGTAGTCTGTGTTGCCAATGTTGTTGCTACAATTGTTGTGAACTTTTGCTAGTGGAACTCTTGCTAAATTCCCCCGTGAACCAGCAAGTAGTGCAAACACGAATAAACAACTAAGTCAACGAACGCAGAGATCACACAAGCACCCGTGTCTAGCCCAAAGTCTAGATCCCGTTACTAAAGTTATCTATGCAGCACTAACGTTGGTAGGCTACTGTGCTACCTTGGCCCGCAGATCACCAGGGACAGGGTAGCTCACACCAAGGCCCTGCGTGGAACGGATTCTCTCTCAACCCGTGGGGCCAAATGGAGGTTTCATACAAACCCGTGGACTACCCTAGAGGCGTCAACATGGGGGTTAGACTACTGCCCTATGCCAACTCGGCCAGTTTCGTGCTTCAGATTTTCGGAGCGGCAAACGGCGTGAAGGGGGTGGAGATCTCGAATGAAGGCAGCGACAAGTGGATGCCCATGAAGAGGAAAGACGGGGCCGCGTGGGAGCAGAAATCCGCGAAGCACATCCTGGAATCCGGGAGCAAGGTGAGTGTGCGCGTGATTTCTACCAAGGGCAAGAAGGTTGTGTTGAAAGGTGTTATTAAGAGCGGCTGGCGTGGCGGGGACATCTACAACAGCCAAACCAACTTCTAGTACGAGACATGTGTTGGGATGCGCTGATATACTTCGCGCGACATGTGCTGCGATGCGCTGGAGTGTGGTGCACGGAAGTGCCTTTTTTACTTACCATGCACGGTGGCCTTGAAGGGAGTAAAAAAAGAGAATGGCCAATCTCCATGGGCATGGAGTCTCCTTCTCGGTCAGGGCCCTAGATTTCAGACTTTGGAGTCTGATTCAGAATCCGTTCAGACTTTTTTTTGTAGCCTAGTCTGAACTCTAAGAATTTTTTTAGGGACCTTGTCTGATTTTCCAGAGTTTTTTTTACCTGACTTGTCTGAAATTTCATACTACTTTGAGTCGTGTATGCTGACCCTTAGACTTGTATCGGGGGTGCACTCTGAAACCGCTTATACGGGGGTTTGGGCCTGCCTGGCGGCGTGTAGGCTTATCCCCATCAGTCACGGGCGAAAACCCAGAAATTTCGCCACCGCGGCACCGCACAGTCGCGTTGGTACAGAAGTGCTATAATCAACACCAAACCAATTGCGGCTGCGCACCAGGCAGTGTTGGCAAGATTCCTTGCCAACACTTAGCTCGTAGCGCGGTGCACTAACGTTTGACACCACGACCACCCACCACACCTCCCCTTCATTGTTGCCAGCGCATAGCTCGCAGCGCGCTGCCACTCTCACTTCACCACATACATCCACCCCACCCCACCTTCCACGGTGCCAACGCACAGCTCGCACCGCGCTGCTACTCTCACGTGACCACATCCATCCACCCCATTCACCCCACCTTCCCACCATTCACGCCCAGGTGCCGTGCATGCAGTGACCACTTGGGGGTTGAGAGGTCCTTATACGAGGACCTCTCATCTTCCTCTTCGTCACCGTGCTTGCCAGGCTCTCTCACATCTTTCTGTTTGCCTGGCCAGAAACTAGTGTAGGAGCCCTTGTTTCAGCCTCCCTTTTCCGAGCTCACTACACCACTGCTCGGCAGGCTCAATGGCTGCCTCAGAAGCTGTCGATGAAGGGCCCGACGAGGAGGATGATGCTGATGTTCGCCCAGCTTCGGACCCACTCACCGGTCTAGACTTCCTTAGGTCTCTCCTACCGAAACATAATCCACAGCAACCTAAACCGTCGCAACCCAGCTCTATTCGCCCATCGATTCCCATTGCCTCTGCAGCTCTGCACGAGGCCGTCGCCGAACCAGCGACAGCCGCGCAACAGGCGGTGCGCCAAGATTCGTCCGTCGAAGCACCTTCTCGTCCCGCGCCACCGACAAACATGCGGTTCCGTCAGTCCACCAAACCTCCACTGGTGCTCCTTCTTTCAAGTGCAGTATTTGCTTGGAATTTTCAGGATTGAATGGCAAGTGTGGGCGGCATACCGATGGAGCAATCGACGTGCAGACACAGTCCTTCAAGAAGCACGAAGGGACGGCGAAGCACCGGTTTGCTCTGCAGCGCCAGGAGGACTTGCTCCAGAAATACGGGTGCCAGCAGCGCATCAACATGCACCCGAAGGCGCAGGACGTGGAGATGCGGCAGGTGTCTTTGCTCGTGGACTCGCTGTACTTCATGGGGAAGTCCAACGAGCCCATGGACTCGTGGATCCGGTTGGTGCGCTATCTGGCGAAGAAGAAAGTGCCCGGGTTTCCCGCGCAGGGCTACGGCACGTACTACAACACGTAAGTAGTGTCTGTAGCATGCCTGTTGGTTTTGTTTCTATTTGACTGTCACTAACGACTATGCTTTCTTTTTGTACGTACGGATTTGGAGAACTCACCCAAGCAATTGCGACGTGGCTCCAAACAACGCAACTTGAGCACCTTCTGACGAGCCCATTCATCTGGATTACACTGCACGAGAGCACCGACCTTCGCCGCGGCAAACACATGATTGTGTTTGCCACCTTTCTCCGCGAGGGACAGGTTGTCACGGAGTTTATCGCCCACTTGACTGTTGAGAAGGTTGACGCTGCTTCTTTGTGCACTTTGTTGGTTTCCCACCTCAGGGCTGTCGGCGTTGACCTGCGGCGTATCTCGCGAATGAGCACTAATGGCACGTCTGTGATGATGGGGAGTCAAAACGGTGTGGTTGCTCGCCTGCGAATGCTCATCCCCAATCTAGTCTCGTTTCACTACATCGCGCACAGGTGCGTTTGTGTTTTAATGTGTCACACTCTGTATTGTTTAACCCTTTGTTTGTTTTAACAATCACTAGCCCATTTGTGTGTTTCTGTTTTGCAGGGAGGCGTTGGCTGCCAAGGCCGCGGCGGAGCAGATACCAACGTTCAACATGGTGGACAATGTCATCCGCGTCGTCGCAGAGTACCTCGGGCAATCGTCACCGTGGCATCAGCGCTTCATGGAGCTGCAGGAGGTGTTCACCTCCACCAACCTCAAGGTCCAAGACATACATGACGTGCGGTGGCTTTCACGAGGAGCTGCAGTCACCCGGTTTGTCCACGTCCTTCCAGCGATCATGGTGATGCTGTCGGAGTGGAAGGACCAGACCATGTACAAAACCGTCATGTCGTACAGGTTCCAGTTCCTCGTCAGGTTCCTCGCGAACCTACTGGAGCAGCTCAACGTGCTCTCCTTCGTTTTCTAGAAGCGGGAGGTAAGTTGCCTACTACGTGTTGCATGTTTTGGTTGTAATCCGCTTTGTACTAATTTTGTTTGAATGTGTTTGTTGCGGCTCGTCTATGCGCAGGTGCACACGTAGATTGTGCGCACGACATCGATCTTAGAGAGCCGTTACGTCGACCGTGGTGACGACTTCGGGGGAGGGCCAATCGAGAGGTTGTACCGCTTCATCGAGAAGCATGGACCGCGTGGTTCACCAGAAATGGTGATCGAGGGAGCTTCGTCTGATGGCAGTCTCAACCGCTTCAAGGTGATGCTTCACGAGTGCACCAACCCAAACTATCGTGGGCCCGGCCACCACGATGCGTGCGTGGCGCTCTGCACCGACATGGCCGAGCATGTCGTCGAGAACCTTCAGTCCAAGCTTGGCGACCTTGAGTCTCTTTCTGGAGTGAGGTTGTTTATCCCTGACTTGTGGCAACCGCAATGGGACCGGGACGCGCGGCAGGCACAATGCCTGGAGTGGCTCTTGTTGCTTGTCACGTTGTTCCGCGCAGATGGGGTGTGTCAAACTCATATGCTATA